AGATTCTGGCTATTGTGAACAATGCTGCAATGAATTTAGAGGTGCTAATCTGGGTCTTCTGCTCACAGAACAGACGCTATAGCTTCTTGATCCATTGCCTTGGCCCTTCAGGTAATTTCTTTCAGCTCTGTTCCAGCAACATGTTTTTTCATGTTGCTGTCATCCTCAGTAAAAACTGAAGAGTAAATGAGAATACAGGTACAACTAGGTACAAAATCAGTAACCTATGTTCTGAGTTTGGGAAGGAAATGAAACAAATAAACAACATTGACTCTGCAACAGTGAGAGCAACTGAGCTCAGACTTTGGTGTAGTTTAGGTTGGGTGAATTTTTATGATTATAGAAGGCTTAGGAATGACTATAATTAACCAATATTCCTAATAGTTCCTGAAGACTTTTTTTCCAAGTAGCTGATTGTGTTGAAAGCTCCCCATGGAACAGATAGAAAGCAGATATTTTGTGTTTCATTTCAGATGATTTAACTAAATCTGCCTCTATGCTATGAAGAATTAGAAGCCTGTCTATAAAGGCATTTTTTCTTATTAATTAATGAATTAAGTTAGGGATAGATATGATCTCAGTTCATAAGTATTACATGAGTATGGGAGAAAAGAAATAAGAGCCATTAGATGATAGGCATTTACTAATTTCCTAGGGGAAAACCTGTTAGTAATAAAACCACGTTAGAACTGTGGAAAGCAGTCATTTGAGTATTTTAACTCTTTTTTTTATATTCGTTCTGTGATACAAAAAAATGATGATGCTCCCATATAGAAAAGCACTGTGTAGAAACAGTTTTCTGGGGCTGGAGAGATAGTACAGAGGGTATGGCATATGGCATTTGCCTTGCACACACAAGGGTTCAATCCCCGGCATCCCATATGATTCACCAAGCACTGCCAGGAATGAAGAGCCTGGAGTAACCCCTGAGGATCACTGGATGTGACCAAAAAAGCAATAATAAAAAAAAAAACCAAAAACCAGTTTGTTTTCCCATTCACCAAGTCCACCTCTTCTACCTCTACTACTTCAGAGAGAACAAAAGTAACTCTGCTTGAAGAAGCTTCTTTTCAACTCATTCTATATGAAGATGGTGAGGTATTGCCGGCTTTATGATGATATGCTACCACAAAATACTGCACGGCACTGTCCTCCCATTGTTCATTGATTTGCTGAGTGGGCACCAGTAATGTCTCACAGCAAATTGTAAGACTTGTTGTTACTGTTTATGGCATATCGAATACATCATGGGGAGCATGCCAGGCTTTGCCATGTGGGCGAGATACTCTCAGTAGCTTGCCGGGCTCTCCGAGAGGGGCAGAGGAATGGAACCCAGGTTGGCCGCGTGCAAGGCAAACCCCTTACTCATTGTGCTGTTGCTCCAGTCCAAAATAAAAAAAAATTGTTAATCATCTATTCATTATGGTTAAAGTAGATTAGTTGTTTAAAGTTTAAGAGGATTAAAAAGTTGTATGTGCATTTCTGAGTGTACAGGAGTTCAGTATCCCTAAACTCTATTTTTCAAAGAATAACTGTATTTATAAAGACACTAAAAAAGTTAAAAGTATCTTCTTCATGTACATTGTGCCATACACACTGAAAATAAAGACATACTGGCAAAAAAGATAAAGTAAAACAGTATATTTTGAACTTCTTTCCTTCCTTCCTTCCTTCCTTCCTTCCTTCCTTCCTTCCTTCCTTCCTTCCTCCCTTCCTCCCTCTTCTACAGCACATGTGCTCAGCCTATTGTATCATCTATCTGGTCTGATCATGTCATTTCTAATAGTGTCAGCTTGTGGCAGAGATACCACTCAATTTTTCATACATCTCTGCCCTGTTTTCCCTATTAGCATGCTATTCTGGTTAAGCTTGTTTCTCTTCTCAGCATCACATTTAGCCTAGTCCTGCTGCCACTGTTAGAGAGTTCAAGTACCTTCTCATTTAGGACTATGGAAAAACTCAGTTTAAGACAATCTGTCATGAGATGCTCCCACTAAAGACTGTTGCTACTACAAACAGAAAGAACATCATGAGTTATCCCACAATTGGGAGAGTGGTTTTCAACCTTAAAAGTAAAGTGAAGTAGTGATTCACAAGAGGTTAAATAATTTCCAAAAGTCATATAGCACAGTAGGTGATAAATCAGGATTTCAACCTCCAAAGCAAAGATTTCAGATGTAACTTTTAGAACTAAATTAGTACTTAAAAGCATTTTTATTACAATGCTTTTAATGGAAACATAGGATCAGTAAATACATGGTTGCAAATTGATTTCTTTCCAGAGCATAGAACAATGCCACAACCAAAATTTTCATATAAAATAATTACATAATTCTGCTATGTAACAGAAGCTTAATTTCATATATCTAGGAATTTGTATCATGGTGGTACACATATTAATTCAGTTAAAGTTCACAGACATCTTTAAAGTGCTCTTACTATTAATCTCATATTATTAACATTATGGGTAAGGCGTTTGCCTTGCACGCAGCCAACCTGGGTTCGATTCCTTGGTCCCTCTCAGAGAGCCCGGCAAGCTACCGAGAGTATCCCGCCCGCATGGGAGAGCTTGGCAAGCTACCTGTGGTGTATTCGATATGCCAAAAACAGTAACAACAAATCTTACAATGGAGACGTTACTGATGCCCGCTTGAGCAAATGGATGAACAACAGGAGGACAGGACTACAGTGCAGTGCTATTATCATTATTTTCTTTGTTTTGGGACCTCACCTGGTGGTACTAAGGGATCACTCCTGGTGGTGTTCAGGGGACCTTTTGTGGTGTCAGAAATTGAAATGGGTTGGCCGTGTGCAAGCACTCTACTCACTGTACTATCTCTTTGGAACCCTTATTTTTGTATTTTTCATAGAGGTCCAAGCCAGTAGAGCTCCAGGGAACCTGGGTCAATGTATGTTATGTTTTGGTGTGAACTTGGCCAGTCAGTGCTCAGGCCCAGCAAGGCCTGGATCCAGCACAGGTACAATTGGAGGAGGTGTTGGAGAGGCTGGGAGGTTTCCAGGGCCAAGGACTGAACATAGACATGTGCTTTACCACTTGAGCCACACCTCTGGCCTCATTTTTTTTTTGTAGGAGTACTGCTATTTATTCAGCCACTGATTAGCTGATTGAATTGTGCATGAACTCCACCTTACTTTTTGTTTCCCATTTTTTATAATTTTATTTATTGAATCACCGTGAGAGCAGTTACAAAGCTTTCGGGTTTAAGTCTCAGTCATACAATGAAACACCCATACCTTCACCAGTGCCCATTCTCCACCGCCAAAAACCCCAGTATACCCCATCCCACACCCTCCCCCTACCTGTGGGGCAGATGATTTCCACATGACTCTCTCTCTACTTTGATCACATTCACTATTTCGACACCAGACCCACCATTATTTGAGATTTTACCCCAACACTCAGATCTGCTGAAAAGGCAACAATAGACAATTTGTGTTCTATTGCTGGTTATGAATAACATATAATGTCGTGTGGCTGCAGTAGGGTCATGTGGTTTTGAAGTTCTGAAATTTTAACACTTAAATCTGGAGGGATTTCTGCCCAAATCCACTGGGTTTAGAGATCTGCTCCTGAGTCTCTGGGATCATGGCCGTTGAGCAGCTTGATGAGGAGCCAAAGAGGCCATTCGTAGGCGATGACTTGGGGTCTCGTTGGGGTGGGGAGGACAGGCCCGGCTCCCCCCCCAACCCCATCCCGTGAGGCCCAACAAGTTTCGTCACTGCGTGACCTCATTTATTTTTATTTATGACTACTATTATTCTTGTTTGGTTTGAGGGCTGGAGCGATAGCACAGCGGGTAGGGCGTTTGCCTTGCACGCAGCCAACATGGCCGACCCGAGTTCGATTCCTCCACCCCTCTCGGAGAGCCTGGCAAGCTACCGAGAGTATCTCGCCCACACGGCAGAGCCTGGCAAGCTCCCCATGATGTATTCGATATGCCAAACACAGTAACAACAAAGTCTCCAATGGAGACGTTACTGGGCCCGCTCGAGCAAATCGATGATCAACGGGAGGACAGTGACAGGACAGTGAGGGCCACATCTGGCTGTACTCAGGTCTTGCTCCTGGCTCTGTGTTTAGGTGTCACTCTTGCAGATGCATTAGGAACCATATACAGTGCTGGGGATCAAACTTCCTTTGGCTGTGTGCAAGGGAAGTGTCTAAACCCTGTGATACCTCTCCAGTCCCTGATTTTTGTTTATTTTGGAGCCACATCTGGTGGTGTTGGGGGTTACTCCTGGCTCTGTTCTGGGAAATGCTGTGCCAGAAATCAAATACAAGGTCTCATACATGCGAGGCACATACTTTATCTTGGAGTCACATATCCAGCTCTCATTTATTTCTATTTTCTAAGAAAGGACTGCACTGTAGCACTGTCCTCCCATTGTTCACTGATTTGCTTGAGCAGGCCCAGTAACGTCCCCACTGTGAGACTTGTTGTTACTGTGTTTGACATATTGAATACATCACGGGTAGCTTGCCATGCTTTGGTGTGCAGGCGAGATACTCTTGGTAGCTTGCCGGGCTCTCCAAGAGGGGTGGAGGAATCGAACCTGGGGAGGCCCGCTCAACCGTGTGCAAGACAAACACCCTATCGCTGTGCTATCACTCCAGCCCCATGGTTTTCAAAAGAAGTTAATTTAATATTTCCAATAGTAACATAAAAGTCCTAGTTTTTCATGATCCTGGCAACCTTATATTATTTTTAAACAAAAAGTCTTATGGTTGTAAAGTGATACCCTATTATTGCTTTGATTTGCAGTTCCCTAATAATTAGAGATGCTGTGCATATTTTCTTAGTTTCTAAGAAAATGCAGCAAAAAAGAAGCAATGTAAACAACCCCTTCTCCTTTATCAATCACATCCTAAGTGACAAAGCTGGGAGGAAAAACCTGAATGATGTAGTTGTTAAGGTTAGGCATTACCAGAAGGTCTTGAGAATATGCTACTCTGGAAAGAGGGAAATCTGCAGCCTTACCTGATAGAGGCTGACATACTGTTTCCTCAGCCACTGCTGTCGTTGGTCGGGGAACTTCCTCATCTTTCTCACAGCTCTAGTAAGTTCCAACAATCCACTGAAGAGCATTTTAGCTGTGTGCTTTGGTGCCACAAAGTGCAGTAATCTGTTGTCTGTGGTCTGAAGCCCATAGAGCAGTGTGACCCCAGTCTCTGAGAGAACCATGCTTCCCAGTTTGTTCTGAACACACACAGTGTGTATATCAATACCAGGGTGCCCCATGTACACAGCCTTCACCGAAAACAGGTCCAAGACTCCCTCTGCGAGGCTGCTTAATCCAGCATTGCCCAGTAAAGGGAATTTGCCAGGCTCAGATGTATTACTAAGGGCTCCAAGTTTAGGTTTAGCATTGAATGAAGAGGCAGTGGTAGGCTTTATCCAGGTTAGTGTGCTGTTGTCAGGCTGAAGCTGGAGGAAGCAGCGGGCAGACAGGTGTGTGTCCTGGTCATAGTGAATGACCGTGGCCCCCTGTAGCAGGAATTGGTGCACATCAGCACGGATGGACAGCACATACCATGGGATGAGCTCTGTCCCATGGTCAAAGGCTTTCTGTGGCTCTTCTGACCCATGAGGATCCCAATCTTTGTGCTGATCAAAGATGTCATTTTCAGAATCCAACAAATCTCCAATTATAAACCTGATGGAAAGAAGTGCAAACTTTAGTCTGTCTGATAAGCAGTCACAAACGAAAACAATCCAAAGCTTTTCTGAATATTGGATTTCATATTCCATTCCATTATGCATTCAAATTAACATGGGAAGTATAATACGCTTAAAATCACCAAGCGATTTTTAATAGTTTTGTTCAAAAACTGATATTTACCAATATTTCTGATCACAGGCAGACAATTACTGTGCTCTTAAAAATGAACAATAGAAGAATGTTATTAGCAATCAAGATCTGGGAGCTGGATGCCAGTACATTCTATTTTGTACACTTTTATTAATGTCATATTTCACCTAAAAGAAAAAGAAATCCTTTGTGTTTCTTTTTTTGGGGGGGAGGGCGGTCATACCTGGCAATGCTCAGGGGTTCCTCCTCACTCTACACTCAGTAATTACTCCTAATGGCGCTTGGGGACCATATGGGATGCCGGGGATTGAACCTGGGTTGGCCATGTGCAAGGCAAAGCCTGATCCACTGTATATCACTTCGGCCCCAAAAGAAATCCTTTGTATCCCACTAACATCCATCCTTGTGAAATTGTTTTCAGTAAGTTGAAAACCAATACTTGTATGTCTTCTTTTCTACAATGCTCTGTCAATACAAGCAGCATTGTAGTTAGGAGCATGCTCCATAGAATATCTTGGGTTTAATGCTCAGTTTCACTACTAATTTGTTGTAAGGCCTAGTCAGGACATTAACCTCTCAGAATTTCACCATATTTATCTATTAATTACAAAAAGGCTATACCTGTTTCATAGGGTGAGTAAAATTCAGATGTAAAGTTTTCAGTACAGTATCTGGTGCATAATAATTGAATATATTAGAAGACTGTCATTTCACTCCTGCCACTTTTCTTTCCTCACTTTTTTTGGGTTAAATTGACATAGTTATTTCAGTAGGACTTCAGTGCTACATTCAAGCATTTTATCTTAATTTCTTTCATTGGGACTATTTATTTCTGTGTTCTCCATGTAACACCTGTTGACAATGCTTTCCCCTTCTTTCTATTTTAGTCGATTGTTCAACTATTGAACAATCGGGTTGAGTTTCCCTCCCCGCCCCGACCAGAGCTCTGGCAGCTGAAGTCCTCCAGAACCAGCCACAACCATGCTGAGGCCACTCTCCACACACATGAAGATACTGGCAGAGGAACAAAGGCATGTGGGTCCCGAGGCTGAGATATCCAAGCCTGCTCGGATCAGGGCTGAGCATCCTCCAAGCAGATCCTCCATCCTCCAGGAGGCAGGGATCACACCCACCAACTGACCCCCTGGCACCATGTAATCCCATCAACGGCCAAGACCCAGAGACTACAAAACGCAGCTCCCAGAAGCGACATCTTATTATCTCATTCTTACTTTGGACAACCTGGCAGTCTACCGAATGTAACCTGCCCACACGACAGAGTCTGGCAAACTCCCCTTGGTGTGCCCAATATGCCAAATACCAGTAACAATGATGGATCTCATTCTCCTAACCCTGAAAGAGCCTTGAATATGGCACTTTAAAATCTCAGGGTTAGGACAAAGGAGACGTTACTGTTGCCTGCTCGAGGCAATCGATGAATAACAGGATGATCGTAATCGTGACCGTGATCGTTAAACTATTGAATTTTTTCATATTTATTTATGTAGTCTGCTGCTTCACTGTATTGGTTTGCTATTCCCAAGGTTTTTTTGGCAGACTCTTTAGGTTTTTACCTGTATATTATCATGTAATCTGAAAATAGTGATAGCTTTCTTCATTTCCAATTTAAATTCTTCTTCTTTTTCTTGATTAATTGCTATGGATAGAACTTTCAAAAATATAATAAATAATAGTAGTGACACTCCATACTCAAGTTCCTGATCTTGGATATAAAGTCAATTTTTCACTATCATGTATGATGTCAACTGTGGCTTTATTGAATAAGACAAGAATTATATTGATGCAAATGTCTACAACCCCTATACTGTTGGTTTTTTTTAGTTTATTTTTTTATTGCGCTATCTTAGTTTATAATAGTATCCAAGTCATTTCATAATTGCAGAGTGCTACAGCAATCCCTCTATCAGTATTTCAAGATTCTTCTACTGATAGTTTTAAGCCCCCAAATTATTCCATTGGTGAGCCTCAGTAGTCATAAAATACAACATCTGCTAATTTTGATTTTGATAGAGTCCTTCTGACTTTAACTCAGCAATAGAAGAATGCTTCCCATATTTCATATGAGTTCTGAGCTAGATCAAGTGTTTTCCAGTGAAAAACTACAGGCACTATGAAAAACAGTGTCCTGAAAGAAAAAGTATGAGACTTCTGGAGTTTGTTTCTCTTACTCAGAGATGATGTAAGTTGGGAGCAAGGAGACACTGACTTTCTTGGCATCAGTTACTATTTTAGAAGAGAAAAAATAACTAATGCTAGTTCCTCAGCATTAGTAATTGGCATTAATAATTACATTAAAAATAATTCTTATAGAAATTAATACAAATATGAAATAACTTACAAAGAAAGGATTTCATTTCAAGGGGCTGAAGAGTTTGTACAGAAGATAAAGAGTTTGCCATACACATGGCAGAGATGGTTTCAATCTCCAGCATCGCATATCATTCCTTGAGCATTTCCAGGAGTGATCCCTGAGCACAGAGTCTGAAATAAGCCCTGAGCACTTCTGGGTATGGCCCCCAAGCCCCTTCTCTCATCCCTCATCCCCCAAAAAGGAAAAAAATTATTTCAAGAAGAAAACTTGTAGTTTTGTCTCATATGACACAAAGAATTTTGTGGACTTTTATTCCTGTTTATCTTAGGAAACTAGGAAACTTAGGAAATTCTAAGGTATTACATGAAGGAATAATGTGAAACTTAAAAGGGTTATTTAGAGACCAAATAACATTAACCAAAGATAAAAGATGTTCATTGCAGCACTGTTAGCAATATTTAGAATCTGGAAACAACAGAGTGCCTGAGAACAGACGACTGGTTAAAGAAACTTTGGTACATCTACACAATGAAATACCATGCAGCTGTTAGGAGAGATTAAGTCATGAAATTTGCTTATAAGTGGATGGACATGGAGAGCATCATGCTAAGTGAAATGAGTCAGAAAGAGAGGGGCAGACATAGAAGGACTGCACTCCTATATGGAGTATAAAATAACATAATATGGGACTGACACCCAAGGACAGCAGACACAAGGGCCAGGAAGACTCCCTCATAGTTGGAAGCCTGTTTCATGATCTGGGGGAGAAGGCAGCTGGAATAGAGAAGGGATCACTAAGACAATGATGGTTGGAGTAATGATTCAGGATGGGAGATGTATGATGAAAGTAGATAAAGGACCAAACATGATAACCTCTCAGTATCTGTATTGCAAACCATAATGCCCCAAAGTAGAGAGAGAGTATGGGGGAAATTGTCTGCCATGGAGGCAGGGGGAGGGTTAGAAAGGGGGGATATATTTGGGACATTGGTGGTGGAGAATGTGCCCTGGTGGAGGGATGGTTGTTTGATCATTGTATGATTGAAACTCAAACATGAAAGCTTGTAACTGTTTATCACAGTGATTCAAAAAAAAATGATGGGTTTATCAGCAAAGAAACTACCTTGTCAAACTTAGGGTCACATGTCTTAGGGAAAGAACCAGGGAATGAAAAGAGAAGAAAGGTAGTTTTATATTTAGCTCCTGAAAAAAATTTTTTTACCATTCTTACCGAAAAACCATACATTGACAGAAAAGCATTTTTGTAATGATGTCCAATGAAAAACAGCCAGCCAGCCAGCCAGCCAGCCAGCCAGCCAGCCAGCCAGCCAGCCTGCCTGCCTGCCTGCCTGCCTGCCTGCCTGCATTCCTTCCCTCCCTCTCTCCCTCCCTCCCTTCATTCCTCCCTCCATTCTTTTCTTCTCTTCTAAATTATATCTAGGTAGGGAGTGAACTGCCAAGGTAGCCAGAGGTTAAATCTTGACTTTGTTAACTGTGATATCCTGAATAAAATGGAACAATTATGAGGATTGAAGTATCAACGATAAATTATTTAGGACAAGGCTTAAAATGGGCTGCCAAATGATAGCATGTTAAATGTTACTGATTTTATTAGTAATAGATTAATAGTAAAGCGCATCTCTGTGGAAATGTTGCATTGTTCAAGGTCGAAGTTGGGATTCCAGTAATAAATATTACTGAACATTGTGTAGCCAATCAGAAAATGACTTTCTTTGTTACAGATCACAAAAGCAGGACTAGGTCTTGAATACTGACCAAAAAGAGAGGAGGGGAGAGAAGCAGAGGACCAGAAAATGAGGTTGGGGCCCTCTTGTTAAGGCGTCAATTGTGCTGAAACATTCAACTCTATCTAAAAGGTGTTATGAGGAGGGTGTTGGTGAAGCTGGGACTCGTTGGCACCATCCTATGATGGCAAATTCAGTGTTTTTTTTGTTGTTTTATTTTTGCATGTGTATGCCTCTGTGTGTGTGTGTGTGTGTGTGTGTGTGTGTGTGTGTGTGTGTGTGTGTGTGTAAAATCTTGGTAGCTTTTATCTTTTCTCAGATACTCTACTTTTTGTTTTTGTTTTTATTCAGTCACACCTGGTAGTGCTCAGGACTTACTACTGACTCTGCTCAGGAATCCTGGTGGGTCTTGGGGGATTATTTGGGATGCTGGGGATTGAACGTGGGTAGACTACATCCAAGGCAAACACTAAACCCGCGGTGCTCACCGGACCCACTATATTTTCTAATGCTTAGCTTTTTAAATTATCTATCCCTGTAGGGTTGGATTCTCTTTCAGGCAAGTTTCTAAGTAGTTGGTGGGCATAAGTGCACAGAAAACATCTCTTTAAAATAATGAAAGGAAGTGTTATGATTGAAGGTTGCTCCTAAAGAGGTTCTCGATGCCAAGGATGCCCATTATTAAAAGCCTCAATTCTTTCAGCTCAGCAACAGGTGGCTGTGATGGCAAATTAATAGCAACATTCATTCGTCTTTTATGAAGTAAAATTTATTATTTTACATATAACATGTCACATACTACCCAGAGGAGCCCTATAAAATGTTATGATCATTTCCATTTCACAGATGACAAAAACTGAGGCTTAATAAAGTTGTCACATATCCCGGGTACACAAATAATAAGTGGTGCTGGTAAGATTCAGTCTCAGGCAATGTGACACCAAGGTGTGAGAATTAATGGGTTCAAATAATTCCTACAAGTTTCTATCTAAACTTGTTTTCTAAGATTGTCCAATTTATCAAATGTATAAATTCCTTATGCTGCAGAATTTAAAAGAAAGTCAATGATATTAAACATGGTCAACGAGGGAAATAAGAAGCTACAGCTCCTTTGTAATCCAACATTCTTATCCTGTCATCTTATATTCTGTTTTCCATTTTCCAATGATGGTGCTACTTTTATGTCCCCATGATTTAGACATACTCACACATGCAATATTAATTTTTTTCCTTTTCATGTTAAAATATAAAAGTTATTAATCACCTACATGGATCACATGAAATAGAACTGATTTTTTTTGGAATTCAGATGTTCCTAATCAAAGCAATGAAAATTAAAAAGGACTTACAGATATCCTCTCCTCAGTAAAAAGAAATGCCTTAAATACTGCAGGACAAAATGTCACACCATACAAATGAATCTATGGTCAGGTTGTTGTTCACCTTCGCTTTAGGAATCATTTAGGGATGTGACTTCGCCTCTCTGGGCACCATCTCATCAGTACAGGAGAACCTGGATGAGTTGTTCTTAAGATTCCACTGACATGTTGATTCTCTTCTAATGTTTTTATACTGAGGTCTCAAAATTTTATTTTATTTTATTGGTTTTTGGGCCATAGCTGGTAATGCTCAGGAATTATTTCTGGCTCTTCCCTCAGGAATTATTTCTGGCTCTTCCCCCAGGAATTATTGCTGGTGGTGCTCAGGGACTGAACTTGGGTTGGCTGTTGCAAGGCCAATGCCTTACCCGCTGTACTATTGCTCTGCTCCTGTAAGGTCTTGAACTTTTAGTAACCACTTTTTCAAAGTTACTATGAGTGCTTCTGGTGGGTTTTCTGGCAGAAATAGCTTTGAGAAAAATACAGATTTTCTGGGTTTGAGAAAAATAGAAAAGCATTCTTCCTGTAGGATGGGTGGACCAAAGTACCTTCTCTCTTTGGTGCAATTTTTTTTTTCTTTTTTTTGTTGCTCTTTGGGTCACACCCGGCGATGCACAGGGGTTACTCCTGGATCATGCACTCAGGAATTACTCCTGGTGGTGCTCGGAGGACCATATGGAATGCTGAGAATCAAACCCAGGTCGGCTGCGTGCAAGGCAAACACCCTACCCACTGTACTATCGCTCTAGCCCCTGGTGCAATTTTCTTAACAGGACCGGTGGCTGCTACATGAACAAGGCGGAAGGTGATTGTTTTGAGTCTTGGTTTTAGCCAAATTAAAAAGTGTGGGTCTGATGGTCCTGAGGATATAAAAATCTCTATGGATATTTTAATGTGATCCCTGGATTAGTCATGGATTCCCAAGTTCCAAAAGATGGTTCTACAACAGAGTTTACTGATCTGGTTTCAGGTGAGTTTTAGAACAACTTGCATGTTCACGGGTTATTTTAAAAGTAGTAGTAACCTCCGTATCAAGACTGTTAATTCTACTGCTACAAATATTTCAGTTTATGAGCTTATTAAAGAAATAGTTGCATCATTCTATTTTCCCCCCTTCCAGGAGAGCTTATAAGCAGGGTCTGGAAAGAGAGAAGAGAAATGTTTTTAGCCTATAGACGATAAGATTATTAGGAAAGGAACAAGGAAATAAGCAGAAAATGGGAAATTGAAATTTCATAGAGGTGATGGAATGATGCAAGAAAGTTGTCACTTAAAAAATCTTTTAAAAATTTAAATTTAATTAAAGAACTGTGATTTACAAAGAAGTTGATAGTTTCACTTTAGGCATATAATATCTCAACACCAATCCCACCACCAGTGTCAACTTCCCCCTACCTCACTTGAAAGAATCCTAAGACAAAAGGGAAGGCATGAAACTAGTTTTCTGGGGTCAGCTGAAGGGTGTATTCCTAAAAGTATTTTATAAATCTTGACAATTTTAAGTAACACATACATAGAGAGACAACACAGGCATAACACACACACACACACACACACACACAGACACAGTGAAGGCTGCTATGAAAAAGATCCATCTGGAATTCATTATTTTACCTATTCAGTATCCTTCATAGTAGAATTTAAGGAAGAAAGGTTGCCAGATCTCAGGATAAGGAAAAGGCATTCATATCCCAAACATCTGGCTTATTTTCCTAACAAATATTATGAAACTTGTAATGAATTGTGATTTCCCTCTTTCCTTTGACCGTTGAGAATTTTAAAACAAAATTTAGTCACTATACAGATTACAGAGTGTACAGTATTTTTCATCCTTGTCCTATTTTTAATATTCTAAATTATTTATATTGTATTATTTATATTTATAAAACCATTTACCAAATTTTTTAGGGAAAGTCATAGATAAAAATAGAGACATGCAGATCCCTATATAGAGGCTAGAGAGAAGGAAATATCTAGAGAACTTCAATGACTGTGAGATGCTCCTGTGTGAAGGTGTTTATTTGCAGGTGGCGCTCCAAATAACATTACTGTGATTACCATGACTCTCAGCAAAATCTCAGTAAGAAAACTTTCAAATTATCTCTGATTTGATATAAACTTTGGAAGTAAAGACTGGTTAGGGAGACATGTGAGACACTTGAGCTTTAGAACGTAGACACTGTAAGGAAAAGAAGGTACAATTGAGCTTTGAATATCTGGATCGTTTATATGAAAGAAGAAGTGGGATTTGGATAAAAGACTGAAAGTCTGGAAAATTCTGGAATATGGGTTTATTTCCTTAAAACATGGTGGTATTAGAGATTCAGAGGAAAGACAGTCACTCATTCTTTTAAAAATAGGGGCTACACTTAGCAGTGTTCTATGTTTACAACCAAATTCTAAGGACTGTTAACATTTCAAAGAAAATTACTTGAAACAGTGTTACCTTACATAAAGAAGCAGCCAGGAAGGACTTTGCAAGAAAATAAGCAATGTCTTGCAAACACCATTCTATATGTATACAGACTCCAAGACAACCCGCAAGGTCTGACTCATGAATCTAAACCTTTCAAGGCAAAGATGTCAAAGCCAGTTGAACTAATAGTTTTGGATGGGGCCAAAGAACTCCGCCGCTAAGTTAGGTTCTTCCATTCGAGTTACCTTTGACCTTGAGGAAAGAACCTTGAAGAGTTGTTTCAATATGTATTTTTCATTTGGTTGTGGGTAGGCATGTCTGCTTAATCTACAATGCATACCAATAAACAGTATTTGGGAAAAAAGAATAATTACAAATGCATAAGTGCTTACAAGGCTAAACCATATTTTCCCAAGCAGTATTTTTGAAAGTGAGATTTTGAAAACCTGACATAAAAGCAAACAAAGACCTGGGAAGGTATCAAATATTCTTATTTCTGTATGTCTTTCTGGACTTATTAAATTAGCATACTGACTACAAAATAGGTTAATAATAACTGTTGTGCCTCTTCAGTAAGGAATTAAAATGATTTTTATTTAAATTTTTTTTTATTGAATCACTGTGAGATAGACCCTTACAAAGCCGTTCATGATTGGATTTGGGTCATACAGTATTCCAACACCCATCCCTCCACCAGTGCCTTTCCCAGCACCAGTGTCCCTAGGTTCCCTCTCATCGCCCCTCACCCCCTCTATGGCAGGCGCTTCTCTTCTCTCTCTCTCTCTCTCTCTCTCTCTCTCTCCTCTTTTGAGCACTGTGGCAAAACTATTTTTATAGAAGCTACCAAATAAATAAGAGATCATGTTTTAAATTCTAAAATTTAGTTTGCTGAATTTTTAGAAATGGCAAGACAGCTCTGTTTTTATTTATTTATTTTTAAAGAGGTAACAGATGGTAAGGCTTGAAAATATGAATAGCAAATTTAGGACAAAGAAGCCAGATCCTAATTCAGAATTGGTAGCACTGCACTGGAGAGCTGTTTTCCCATTCATCGATTTGCTCAAGTGGGCCCAGTAACGTCTCCGTTGTGAGATTTGTTGTTACTGTGTTTGGCATATCGAATACGTCATGGGTAGCTTGCCAGGCTTTGCCGTGAGGGCGAGATACTCTCGGTAGCTTGCCAGGCTCTCGGGGAGGGGTAGAGGAATCTAGGGAGAAGAGGAACCTGGGTCTGCCGAGCCAGTCACATGCAAGGCAAACGCCCTACTGCTGTGCTATCGCTCTAGCCCTTGGAATTGGTAAAGTTTGAGATTTTTTTTTTTTAAAAGCCTGGCTTGTTTACTTATAAATGTGATGTGTTTTGATTAGGATCTACCAGTTCCCAAAGTGAAACAGCAAAAAGAAGAAATGAGGATCCTTGTCTTAAAATGTGAAACTTACTGCCAGCGTGCTTTATCTTTCAAGGAATTCTTCCTAGAGCTACTGCCCTCCCCGGGGCTGTCTTCCTCCTCGGACTCCAGACTACGAGTGCAGCTCCGGATGATCTGAAAGATGCTGTTGACTGTCGACTCCTTCTCTGAATTTTTCAAGCCATTTTGTCCCACTCGTTGTAAGAAATTATCTTGTCCACTATAATCCGCGACAAACTAGGAAAAAAATATCAAGAATCTATTTTTTGTAACTTTACAAACCGTGTCTAAGTAACCTACTTGGCTAGGGAGAGAAAATAATTATGCTCCCCCCCCACACTGGGAAGAAAAAAAAAACCTCCAGGAAAAACATTTTTTTCCAGTTCACCATGTGAAATATCAAAACCCACTCTTGTTTCCACTAAGAGAACTTTAGTCCCTCCAGGAATCTACACTCCACTTTGAATTTAAAATGCAAAAAGCAATATTAGTCCAAGGTTCCCTAAGGAGAAGATTAGCTACTTTATAGAGGAATGGTAGCATTTGTTTCATTCTTGTAGGGAGAATTAAGAAAAACTGGAACAAGAATATACTATTCTGTGGAAGCAGATAAAAATCTTGGGACTCAAGGAAAATATCAGGAAAAGCAGACACTTTGTTTTGTATCTGCTAACAGGGTGGTAGCAGAAGCTGTCTGGTAGTTGCTATGCTCTTATTATTTGTATTTTGTTCTTCAGGAGTATTATGACTTGATCAGGAAGCCTCTCTCATAATGGGTCACAGACAGGAGAGAGCTGATGTAGGTGCAGCTGGGGGCCTGTATTTATAAGCTTACTTTTTTATCACTTTAAATAAGTCGAGAAGATGCTAGTGGTCATCATGGGATTAGGGGCTCTCAAGTCTCCCTGATATTATTTATGATGATTTTGTTCTCTCTCACACAGAAGAGGCTAAACTATAAGGAGAGTCCTCCCAATGCCACCGAGATAAGCCACGTGCCTGTGTGTGAGTGTGTGTGTGTGTGGGTGTGGGTGTGTGTATGTATACATGCATGTACAGTGAGTTGTGGGTACGCAACCAGAGTGAGAAAGTCCCGAGATTTGTACTTGGGACTTCCACATGTGGTACTCCTCAAAATCCTCCATAAAGCGCCTTCATTTCTTTTAAAGGGGAGATGGCCTCCTTTAGGCTTTTCAGTGTCTGCTTCTCAATGCCCAAACCCAAAGCTCACTCAGTGTTTTCCTTCTGGGAGTCAGGAACATAAGTCAATGGATGTGAGAGAAGTGAGGCTGTTCTGGTGAGAGCCTGGGGCTTGGCTTTACAGGAGACCCTGGTTTCCCCAATGATTTCCACCAAGGAAGAAAGGAAGGCTGCACTGTCTCCCCTCCATCCTTCATTCCAAGTCAATCCTCTCTTCTGAATTCTCTTATCCCCTGTATTCAGACATTCCCCAACCAATAAAAGAGAGGTCTGTCAGCCATTAAGAGCAAAACCCAAAAGTGGCACCATTTCCACATGTTGTCATTATTAATACACTGTCATTAACCCTAATTTAAGATTTAGTCTCACAGTACCAACTGGCCTTCTTTTCTCTGGAATTTTCAAGCATCTCATTAAAAAAACAGTAAAATAGTTTGTTCCTAAGTAAAAAATCTGGGGAACTATGAGGAGGGAGAGAGGGGGAGAGAGACATGTGTTCAAGAGGGAACACAAGCTCCTCCAGAGGGAAGAGCTAAAAGTACAAATCTCAGATTGAGATGCTGCTGAATCCAGAATGAGAATGCCTCAAGCACCTAATTGTAGACCAACACAGTAACAACTTATAACCCTGTGTTTGTAGGTGATCTCTGAGTTACTGAGCAATGATTCAGGCAGCAGCAATGGGGCCCCAGGTCATGAGGATTTTTCAAAGGTCTCACCTCTAGTGCTTCCTCTTGGGAATTGTACCTTGGGCAGAGCTTCATGAGGCCAGAGGCACCATCAAGTACTTCACAGAGCTCCTTCAGAAACACACCACAGAATGGAACCACCTTACACCCGGGGATGTGCAGCGCCCGGGTCACCACCTTCCTGTACTCGCAGGAGGATTCATGCTGGGCCATGGCGTCCTTCAGACTCCTCATGGTCTCCAGGTCAGACTGGTCCATAAACTGCCACATTTTTAAAACTTTTCGAGACCTGTTGTAAGCAAAGGACATTTTTTAGACTGCAGGAGAAATAAAATAGTTTACAGTAAGTAGCCTAAATTCTAAACACATTCATTAAAAAAAGTCTGCTCTGTTTTGGGGAGAAAAGGATATAGTTCGGGCTACACTTAACAGTGTATTACGACCAGTTCTGTGCCCAAGGGTTACTCCTGGTCGTACTCAGGGGACCATGCAGTGTCAGGCATTGAACATGGTTTGGTGGCACGCAAAGCAGGCAGCTTAACCTCTGTACTATCTCTGGGGCCCTAGACCTGTATTCTTTATGTTGTAAGGTTTATTTAGGATTCATAGATCCACTGGCTGGAGCTATAGCACAGCGGGTAGGGCATTTGCCTTGCATGCTGCCGACCCGGGTTTGATTCCTCTGTCCCTCTCCGAGAGTATCCCGCCCGCATGACAGAGCCTGGCAAGCTCCCTGTGGTGTATTCAATATGCCCAAAACAGTAACAAATCTCACAATGGAGATGTTACTTGTGCTGGCTTGAGCAAATGGATGAACAATGGGAGGACAGCGCTACAGTGCATAGATCCACCAACATCCCAGATGATGTGAATGTTACTTTTATAAATTGAAACAGAAGGCCAATTAGGACAGATCTAAGCAAAAATGGGGGGGGGGGCGGGGGGAGTTCCTTTTGAAAGATGAGCACTAAACTTGCATTTGAGCTATACTAGCAACAATAACAATAACAATAACAGAGGAACAGAGGGAAATTCAGTGGACTGTGTGCTTATGTGTGCTTATAGTACATTTCACATTTTCTTTATTCGTTGTTTTCATTTCTTGTTACCAATATTTCAATTTCTCGACATTATAAGTAATGCTGCAAAGAGCAAGGAGGTACATTCATATATACATAGATGTTTGTGACTGCTTCTGTTTTCCTCAGATAACTCCCCCAAAGGGATCATATGGTAGTTCTCTTTTTAGTCTTTTGCATAGTGGTTCACTAACTTACACTCCGCACTCTGTACAAGGGTTTTCTTCCTTCCACAACCTTGCCAACATTTCTGAGTTCATGTCTTCTTGATAATAGACATTCTAACATTCCTACAGCCTTTAAAAAAAGAAAGTAACAAGGTGTTTTTTTTTTTGACAAAAAGTATCACAAAGAGCCAAGTCTGGATATAGCTTCCTGTTCTCCAACTATCATATTTTTTCTACAATTTTCCCCTACTTTGAACCATATCTGCTGCATTTCTGCGACTATTTTAAATGCCAATGACATGATCACTTAAATTTATTATTAATTAAGAAAGTTCAAAAGGACAAAATCTTTCCAACTCTGTGAATTTTCTTCTCTTCCCTCAATCCTGAATTCCTATGTAGGGATCTAGAAATAGAAAAAAAAACTCAATAATATCATGAAGCAAAAACATTTTACAGTAAGAATCCTAACTGGGAAGGCAAATTTCAGGCAAAAATTATCAGATGAGTTCTTTAGATGGAGCCTTATTATAAATTCTGTAAGCCAGATGTACATGCTGAATGCAATGTCACTTGTATTATCTTTTTGTAAATCCTATGTAAAAAGATAAGTGCTAAAAAATTCATTATCTATATTGCAGAGGAAGAAACTATCACTATCACTATCCTCCCGTTGTTCATCGATTTGCTCGAGTGGGCCCAGTAACGTCTCCATTGTGAGAGTTGTTGTTATTGTGTGTGGCATATTGAATACGTCATGGGGAGCTTGCCAGGCTTTGCCGTGTGGGCGAGATACTCTCAGTAGTTTGCCGGGCTCTCCGAGAGGGGCGGATGAAGAAACAGAGGCTTAGAAAGATCCAGCAACTTGCCCTCTCAGTTTTCTCTTATTTAATTATTTATTTATTTATTGCTTTTTGGGTCACACCCGGCGATGCACGAGGGTTACTCCTGGATCTGCACTCAGGAATTACTCCTGACAGTGCTCAGTTGACCTTATGGGATGTCAAGAATCAAACCCAAGTTGGCCGCGTGCAAGGCAAACATCCTACCCGCTACGCTATCACTCCAGCCCTCAGTTTTCTTTCTCAGATACTCAGATACTGCCACAAATGGAAAGGACAATATTATGCCAGGCAACTGAGGCAGCAAGACAATAAGGCAGAAAACAATATTTACCGATAGAAAAATGATCTTGGTATTGATGGAGACACTGCCAGAGCACAATACCACAGATGTTAAGACATGGGCTCTGAACCAAGGTTGTCTTCATTTTGGTCCCATTCATGTTAGATGAACTTGGATGAATGTCTTGACTTCTCTTTTTTTAAAATTTTATTTTTTTATTATTATTATTTTTTGGAGTGATGAGCATGGGGTTAGTCCTGGTTCTGCACTCAGGAATTATTCCTGGCGGTGCTCAGGGAACCATATGGGATACCAGCGACTGAACCTGGGTTGGCCACATGCAAGGCACCCTACCTGCTGCACTATTGCTTTGGCCCCAACTTCTCCTAACTTTAGTTTCTTCTTTTATTTAATTTTAGAATATAATATCTAAAATAGCATAGGAACAAGTTTGACCAAATGACTTATGTGGGGAAAGCTTTCGATAAAAACGAAAGCTAGGGCTGAGGTTAAGGTACTTGCCTTGAGTGTGGTTGACTCTGGTTTGATTCCTAAAACTGCATATGAGGTACCCAGAACACTGCTAGAAATGATCCCTGAGCAAAGAGCAGGGGTAAACTCTGAGTATTGGCAGGTGTGGTGTGTGTATGCACAGAGAGAGAGAGAGAAAGAGAGAGAGAGAGAGAGAGAGAGAGAGAGAGAGAGAGAGAGAGAGAGAGAGCACTAACGATGGAATGTCACATAATTAATAAAATAAAATGTAGTAAAATAAAACTAAACCACACAAGCCACTATTGTTAATTTGGGCACCTGTGGTTCGGAATTTATAGAATTAGAGTAATGGATAGAGCAGAGCTGGGAAGAGGAAAATTAGAGCGTTTATAGGATAGAAAATGGAGGACAGGAATGGGTGATGGTGTTGATGGAGTTTTGTAAAAAGGTAACTTACTCAGCTTGTTCAAGGCATGAAAATGGTACTGCATTCTGTAGTACCTTTGAGGGACAGGACTAGTGTCACTGGAAGAGGACAATATTCCTCCAAATAATCACCACCAATGAATGCTTTTAAGGTTAACTGGCTAACTTGGTCACTGAACTCAGCAGCAGGAGGAAACTGCTGAGATAAAGATACTCCCGTTGCTCATACCTGAGGCCAGCCAAGAACTCCATGACAGCATTATAGTTGCCCATATTCCAGCAACATTTGGCCACGTGCACCAGATATGAGAAAACTTCCCTCTTTTCCTCCATGGAGCCCGCTGTGAGGATCAGCCACGTAACCCAGGAACTCACCTAGAAAATAAAAGGGGGTATTCACTGAAACTCTGGAAGCCTGATAAATACAGTTGCAGAAGAAAATTGTTTTTCCATGAGAAAAATCAGTTCATACTAGAAAATTGAAAGGCCCAGTGGAGACAGCTGGCGTGCATTTGCAGCTCCGCCATGCCTTTGCTACGGGATTCTGGGACAGCCACTTAACCTCTATAGTGCTCACTCTCATCTTTAAAATAAGGAAGCTGCAAACAGGCTGGAAAAACACAACAATAATAACTCTGAAATGCTGTGAGCAATGTGGTGGATACAAGAGGAAAGGGTGGAGGAATGGGGATAGCAGGTATTTTGATGGAACTGGAACACTGATGCTAGATATGATGAGTTTTATGTTTTTACAGAAGTGTCTAAAGCTGTAATGCCAGAATTTTGCAGCAGTATTGTACATCAAGAGCAAATAAACTGTTTAAAATCTATTCATTAATTCGTCGATAGAGCAGGAGGGAGTCTGGGGTCAGAGAAAGCTCAATGAACTAATGCTTTTCATGTGAGAGACCTGGGCTCAAACCCTGGCACTGCAAGGTCTCCAGAGTATTTTAAAGATGACTCCAAGCACAAAGCTAGGAGAAGCCTTCAGGAATTACTGGAAGTAGCCCCCAACCATAGCTGTTATATTGGGGACTAGCTGGTATATGCCCAAAGCCAAAGCTTCCCTTCTCCAGAATCAAAACAAAAAACAAAGAGGCTAAAGATAACTCATAAAATCCCTTCTGATTTTTGATTCTACCAGAAAAAAAGAAATAAGTTCTCAGGATAATATTAATACAAAATAAACTTGACTAATGGTAAAGTGCAATCAATGCTCTTAGACCATAAATGAAAGAAATTTATGAAAAAAGCACAATATATACACACATATTAAGCTGACTTTTACAACTGCATTATCTATTATTCTCCCCAAATGACTACATAATATGAAGAGCTACTCACATAGCATTTACTATATGCCAAGAAAGTTTATAAGTGCTTTATACATGCTAACTGATTCAATTCCCACAACAATCCTAAGAATCAGGGACTATCATGATTTGCATTAAAAAGAGTCAGACCTGGCAATGCAGGATGGGGTGGGCAAGCGATCTGAGTGTGTTACTGAACTCAGGGTCTCACAATATGCTAGGTTCTACCATTTACATCTCAACACTGTCCATTATTCACATATTAACGAAGAGGAAAGCATGAGACAAAGGGTGTATGACATTTGTTGAAGAGCCTCCACCTCTTCCAAAAGGTTGCAGGCCTTACTTTGAACTTAAAGGTGTGTCTCATGTGAACACATAAACCAATATTCTCCAGCTCTGGGTTTAAATAGATTGTACTGTGATTAGTTTTTCCTATTAGACAGATTAGAGGGGGTAATATTCAATAAAAATTCACAACTAAGTCCCCAGATCTTTTGGCTATTCAATCTCAAACATCTCTGCTTAGTCTTTTTCTTTTTTTCTTTTTTTCTTTTTGGGTCATACCCAGCAATGCTCAGGGGTTACTCCTCGCTTTGCACTCAGAAATTACTCCTGGTTGTGCTTGGAGGACCACATGGTATGCCAGGAATTGGACCCGGGTCGGCTATGTGCAAGGCAAACTCTGTCAAACTCTGTACTATCGCTGTACCATTGCTCCAGCCCTAGCCTTTAAGATTATTTTGTCACTATCTAAATTTTATGCTTGGACACTGTTCATTTAAGAGACTTTCTCCATCTCCATCTCCATCCTGGCTAACATCTGGGCTGCTAAACTGAGTTGTTAACAAACCAAAGTCTTGGTTGTGCCCCCATACGGTCAATTTGCTGTATCTGGTCCTGTGACAGAGCTGAAACCTGGACAGTTGCTGATCCTCCTGACCCCAGTGAGAGGGAGCGTTCAACAAGACTCATGACAACCTCGGGGGGGGGGGGGGGGGAAGAGTTCAAGATGTTCATCATAAATAAATGCTAAAATGAAGGAATGAAAAGCATTTAGTGCTGGCAGCAACCACAGAGGGCAGTCCGACCCAGTCTTCCAGATTCAGAATCTGCAGCTCTATGAGAAGAGACTTGTCTTGTCTGATGCAGGGTTAAGGGTTCTCTAAAGTTGTCAATGGGTAGTTGTGCTAACACTCAGGTATTTAATTATTTTATTTATTAATTTTTGCTTTTAGGATCACACCTGACGATGCTCAGGCATTACTCCTGATTCTGCGCTCAGCAATTACTCCTGGCAGTGCTCAGGGGACCATATGGGATATTGGAAATCGAACGCGGGTCAGCCATGTGCAAGGCAGATACCCTATTCACTGTGCTATCGCTCCAGCCCCGGGTATTTAATTTTTTGTGTGTGTGAATCTGCTCTATTTTGGTGGCAAAATAGGTTATTCTCTGATATCAAGCAAGAACACTTAAATACTCATCCGTCTCTTCTCTTCTGAAATCAGCAGAAGCAAAAGCCACCAGCCACTTCAAGTTCAGCTCACAGCACTGTGCACAAACATACACTTCCTCCCTCTCCTTGCTCAGGACTATGCTGGGTCCTCAGGCAGCACCAGAACTGATTGGGAATCACATGTCCAGGATAAATCCTGGCCCAGATCATCCTGTAAGAAATTTAGATCGCCTTGGGAAGTAGAGACCATTCATGTTGATCTCCTGGGGCTCATTCTGGGCAAAATACACAACTCTTCTTCTGTAGCTCTGAGCAATCCTTTGCTCCCTCTTTCAATTCCTGACCTCTTAGTCACCAGGTTAATAATCATCTTTGTGAAACCATAAAAAGGAGTTATTTTGCCAGTAGAGACAGTGCCATTGGCATTTCTGTTCAATTCTTTATTTACTCTGATAAGGCCTATGGAAATTCATCAGTAAACACTCAGAATCACAGAATCATCAACTCTTTGGACTGGAAGTTCAAAATAATCTGACAAAGAATGAGACCTTGAAAAATTAAAATGTTTCTGCAAAGACCCCCTAATTAAGTGTTGAGATAAATTCTTCCTAAGGCTTTAGTTCCTTTTCTGTTGAGATTGGTGCCTAAACCAGGATGCTGGAAAGCCAGTTTCTCCCCCAAGATCCATGATCCTAGGTTATTCTGGTAACAGCAAAGATTTATTAGCCCCATGGCCTTAAAGAGTTAACTCACCTCCCTTTGGAGAGGTCTGCTTCACAGAGCAGGTACAAACTATCTTTGATTTGTGCTTCAATCCTGATTATGTATCCAGATTTATTTTATATCAGTCAAATCATTTTCCATATACTTTCCCACAAAGCTAGGAAAAAAATAGCGATGCCATATTTCACATGGAAACTTAATTTAAACCAACTGTTCCATCTCCAAGTGTGAGTCCCTAGGGTCCGGTTGTTGAGATTATGTAAGCACTGTTATCAGAAACACACACACACAATACACTAACATCTGCTGCTTAAAGATTTAAGAAACAATTATAGCCCAATATATAAATAATTTCACAGGTGTTAACTGATGAGTGTCATCACAAATTATTATAAAATAATTAGTGATACAAAAAGGGAATAAGGACTTGGTGAAGATTGTTAAAATGGTGTCCAAAGCATAAAGTAGGTCATATTTACTAAACGGAAAATGGGATGGGCTGCCAATACACAAAGTATTTTAGGACACGGAAAACACAAAGAAAATTACAGAAATAGTATACCTATAAAATAAAAGATATCAAGCTTGGGATAGGAGCCTCCCCATCATCCTCACCATCCTACCCGCCCCCACCCCGCCCCAAACCTCCCAAACCTACACCTGCCTAGAGCAGAAGTGTTCAAAGTGGCCAATAAGTTTGCTTCACTTCAACAGTCAGCACAGAATACAGAGTAGTTGGCCTCCAGCCAGACTAGTAAGGGACTCCTGGGTCATGGTGTACACTTGCCCCTTGGGGAATGTGTGCCGTTGCTCTAGTAGCTCCTTCTCCAAATTGTTTTCCTCCTTCTGCCCTTCTCGGCACTACACAACAGGAATAGCTTGCTTCTCACATGCAATATCTTAAAGGCATCGCACAAACTTGATTGGGAAGGAATGTTCTTGGTCTATTCAAAATAACCTTTCCCTGGTCCACTATGCCGTTCCCTTGTCCTTTGTAATGTCAAATAGTTACCTTGACCCAAAACAGGTCTCTGTTTTCAAGACTCGTCTTGCTTCTCCTGGACACGACTGCACCAGGGGAGGGTTCTAGCCTCAGCACTCTTGCTTCTGCACTGTTTGTTCCTTCAAAAGAAAGCCTTTTTTCTCATCCCTCCTAGCCCCAAACCTTTTACTTTGCTAATTTTTACTTTTCCTTTCGGGAAGACTTCCTATAGACTCTTTAGACTCTGTGGTCAGGATCCCTGCTTTGGGCTGCCACATCCTAATAAACAGAGCATGTCTGCTCACAGGGCAAGTCTTCCCTTCCAGATTGTTTGCTCTTGTTGACCCATAACTCCAAGTCCCCTGTCAGATAACCATAGTCTACTTCTGGGCCTGCAAGGGCCTTTTATCTGGACCAGGATCCTTAGGGTAAGGTAACACTTTACTTTTTTTTTTTTTGGCTTTTTGGATCACACTTGGTGATACTCAGGGGTTACTACTGACTCTACACTTATGAATTACTCCTGGCAGTACTGGGGGGACCATATGGGATGCTGAGGATCAAACCCAAGTCAGCCATTTGCAAGGGGAATGCCCTACCCACTGTACTATCACTCTAGCCCCAGGGTAGGGTAACTTTAAACCTGAAGGATGAAAATAGGATGTGTGTGTGTGTGTGTGTGTGTGTGTGTGTGTGTGTAAGGGTGTGTGTGCTTGAATGTCCAATTTGAAGGTACTTGAGGCCAATGAGGTGTACACATAGGCACGTAAGCTAGATGGAAAGGGAAGGCGGCCAGGCCACCTGTAGGGCATCCATTGTACTTGGTCTGGCTTCCCTACAACCATGGGCAGGGCTGCTTCAGGATTGTGATGAAAACCACTCTTGAGGCCTGGGCTGA